CCAGGGATCCCTGGGTTGGGGCAGAGACCTGGGGTCCTTCTCCCCTGTGCAGGGGCAGCCAGACTTGCTTTCCTGTGGTACTGTCTGCCCCCTGCCCCCGGGGACATCCTGACACCTCCCTCCCGTGAGTAATGAGCACTTCCTATGCTCCCCTTCCACTTCCGTCCTCTGAACGCCCCTGGCTCCAAGTTCACTGGGGGACAACGCCGTAGCCCCGGGTTCACCTTGGAGCATTAAACCAGAACTCACCTAATCAATCCACAAAGGGCAAAACCACAGCTTTCAGGCTGACCAGAAGCCCAGGTCACTCAAACACTCACCCGGTGCTTTGCTGACGTGGCATGTGGCGGTGCTGGGCACGCTGGGCCGGTAGGCACAGGCCCAGGCCAGAGGGGTCACAGCTCCCCGACGGGGGCACGAGGCCCGGTGATTGTAGGAGCACACATGTCCCTCGCCCCACCTCGTGCTAACGTTTGATTTAACAAGCTTCCAACACTTAAAGTCGAGAGATTTCACATAAGGGTCTGAGATGCCAGCGTCTCTTCCCTGCTGGGCCCTGTCCCCCCCGGCCACTACCTGACGCAGGAGGCCTCCAGGTACCCCGGGGACTCCCCTTGTTCTGGAGTTGGAGTCGGGGAGCTGCCCAGGAAGAAGCTGGAGCTACCTGCCACAGGCAAGGAGGAGAAGGCTCCGGAAGGCCGGAGTATGGGGCAAGGCCCCCTGCCCAGAACCACCCAGACGCCGTGAGTCCTGGCAGTCGAGACAGAAGCAGCTCCAGTGCCCACAAACGGGCCGGCAGGAGGAGCAGATGGTGGAGAGTCAGAACCCGGGCAGCGAGGGAGGATGCGGGACACTGAGTGTGGCCAGCCACGCACTGAAGCTGCAGAGCGGGCTGGGGTCGGGCCAAGTGGGCTTGACTAGGGGCAGAGGGGACGCCCTAATTCCAACATGGCAGTGCGTAAAAATCTATCCAGCTGCGCCCCTGAGACGCCTGCACTGCAGTCGATTGCCGTGTGTGTACCCGACAACGCTGGGAAAGTTAAAAACACAAACAAGAAGGAAAGCGCAGAGGCCTTGGGGGCGGGCCGCCTGGGGTTAGACCACCTTGGATACAGTGTTTGGCTGCAGGAAATGAGCATATTAGCAGCAGTGGTGGCTGATGTGGGTTGGGGCAGGGGGTGACAGCACATGTTCTGGCTGGGGCAGGGGATGGAGAAGGTGAGGTCTCTCCTGAGACACTAAGCCTTCTCCCCTCCTCACTTCGTCCGTCTACCTTGGGACAGGTCTTGGGGACCGACATGCTCAGATGACTCAGACGTGCAGCCCAGATTGTCCCGAGCTCCCGCAGGGTGAGCTGACAGCTGTCCCTGACGTCTCTGAGCACCTGACGTGGGTTCTGGTCCTGCCAGGGCTTTGTCTGCAGTGGAGCATCGTGGGGCAGACGCATAGGTGACTCACACATGCACACACACACATGAACATGTGCACACACACGCACTCAGGGCTCCCAGAGCCAGGTGCTCTTCCCAGCTCGTGGCAGCCCTCCCCACAGGAAAGAAGGGCATCACCCCCATTTTACATGGTGGGGAAATCTCCTTCCTGTGGTCGCAGAGCTGTAGACAGGTGGCTGCATGACCCTCCCTGTCTGTGGGTCTTGTCACTCTTTGCCAGGGGCTGGTGCTCCCAGGCCATTAGCCTGGGTGCATGGAGGGGCTTATCTCTAGCCAGCAGATGAAGGATAGGCATGGGGGGTGACCATGGGGCCTCCTGGCGGCAGCTGGAGGCAAGCGGCAGAGCTCAGATGGTCTGTGTCCGGGCAGAGCATGCACGGCCACAGAGCACTCAGGCGCTCTGGGCACGAAAAGCTGTGCTTCCCAAGCCCACGGAGGTCGTGGTCGAGTGGGGGCACAAGGAGACGGGAACTCCATGAAGTCGGCACCAAATGGGGTCCTGTGGGGCACCAGGGAGTCTGGGTTAGGAGAGCTCAGGGAGGGCCTCCTGGGATGAGGGCTCCGAAGGCAGCAGAGCCTGTGCAAAGGCCCTGAGGTCTCAGGAGTGAGTGCCGTGTGTGTGTGGGATGCGAGGGAAGGCTCAGGCTCTCCATGGTGGACCAGGCACACAGTGAAAATGCGCCTGATGTTTCCATACGTCTTCGCCTGACATGTGGCTGTTACAGAGCAGCAGGCACCATGGCTATGTGAGCAGTCCATATTCAATTCTGTCGTTTTTCTAAGTCCTGGTCAGGACCCACTAACTCCAGTGGTGGAACTGACCCCTGCTGGAGTTCATGGAGCCTGAGGTCGTGTAGCAGTGTGGGCACGCCAGGGGTCAGGCATGCTTGGGGAAAGGTCAGAAAGGCTCTGAGCGCAGGCCTAGGTGGGTGAAGACAGGCCCATCGGCCACTCCCTGAGGCAGGCAGGTGCATCTGCCCCACAATGCTCCACGGCAGACAAAGCCCTGGCAGGACCAGAACCCACATCAGGTGCTCAGAGACGTCAGGGACAGCTGTCGGCTCACCCCGCGGGAGCTCGGGGCAGTCCCGCACATCTGACAGAGTCAAGGGCCACAGGAGAATTGCGGCTCCTGTGCGAGATCCAGGGAGGGCTCCAGGGAGAAGGGGTGAGACACGGGGTGGAGGGGCTGGGTGGTGGCCCCCCTGCAGAGGAGGGCCAGGGCCTCCGAAGGGCTGGTCCCCAGAGGCGAGGGCAGGAAGGACAGAGCTTGGACACGCTCTGGACGTGAGGAAGCTGCCGAGGGGGAAGTGACCACGTGGGTGGGCCTGGAGGACATTGCACGCAGGGAAATGAGAGAGATAAATCCGCAGGCCCTCACTCCGTGCGGACTCTGAGAGCGTTGCTCTCACGGAAGGAGGGTAGAAAGGTGGCGACCAAGGCTGGCGGGGAGGGCCAGGAGGGGTGGGGCAGGGCACAGGGTCCCCACCCGGAGGGCAGCTCTGGTGATTGCCGCACCACGTGGTAACCACCGTCCATGACGTGCAGTGGCCCCGCATCCACGGGCTCCACTTCTGAGATTCAACCAACCACAGGTGGAAAATATTCGGAAAAAAATATAAAAATAGCAATACAATAATTTTAAAAATGCAAGTTAGAGATCAGCCTGAGCAAGACTGGTGAGACTCCCATCTCTACAAAAAATAGAAAAATTAGCTGGATGTGGCAGCGTGTGACTGTAGTCCCAGCTACTGAGGCAAGAGGGTCACCGGAGCCAGGAGTTGGAGGCTGCAGTGAGCTATGATGACACCACTGCACTCCAGCTCAAGCAATAGAGACTCTGTCTAAAAAAAAATGCAAATTTTACAAAATATAACAACTATTCATGTAGCATTTACATTGCAGCAGGTATTATAAGCACTCTGGAGGTGATTTAAAATGTGTGGGAGGTTATACGCAGACACATCATTTTATATAAGGGACTTGAGCATCCACAAATTTTGTCGCGAGGGTCTTGGAGCCAATCCCCCCAGACACCAGGGGATGACTGTATTGTATACTTCAAAATTGCTAAAAGTGTAGATTTTCAACATTCTCACCACAAAAAAATGGTAAGTTAGATGATGGATAGGTTAATTAGCTTTACTGAATCTTTCTACACTGTATACATAGATCAAAACACCACATTGTACTCCATAAATACACACAATTATTATTTGTCAATTAAAAGTAAATAAAAATAAAATAAACTCATTGCAAAAAAAAGAGGCAGATGCCTATGGCCTTGGGCAGCGGAAGAGACTGGCCATGTGCACCCTCCAAGCACGAGCACCACACAGGAAAGTAGAGGTGGCCACAGCACCTCGTCTGTGCTGCCTCCTAGCTGCATGGTGGACGTGGTGTGTGCCACGTGGATTTGGTGTTGGGTGGCTTTTGGGTCTTTCTATCAGTTGCCTATCGATGGTGCACGAATTCGTATTTCTTTCATTCCAGAGGTTGCTGGTGGCAGCATGCTGGGCAGTATGGAGGGAAGGCAGCGGAGGGTCATTTTGGAGGCTGGGCGCGCTAGCCAGGCAGTAAAGGGTGGGGCTGCCTGGAGGCTCAGCGGGGGAGGGGGCAGGGCTGAGTGTTGGAGGCACTGGGGTCCCTGGCAGTCCAGAGCCCAGGGTTGCAGGTGCCGAGTGTCCAAGGGTGGAGATGCCCAGGCAGGGTCTGCTGATGTGAAGATGAAGATGCAGAGAGTCTGGGGGTGTTGGGATTCGTCCTGACATTGATATCTCCTGGGGATGGAGAGAGGGAGCCAGAGACCAAGTCGTCGTCACGCTCGGGTGGGGCCACTGCAGCAACAGCGGGAGGGCAGGGCACACAGGGAGGGGCCGCCTCCTGTAGGGAGGTCTAGGGGAAGTTGAGGCTCCAGGAGCCATCCCTGCCTGTGAGAGGAGGGGCTGGCCCCAGGCAGGCTGGAGACACCTGGCGACAGAGGGGCCTGTGTCGGGCAGTGACTGAGGAAACAGAGAAGCATGGCCAGGGCTGAGGTTGTGGGCCAGCGGGCTAGTCCAAGCCTGGTAGCAGCGCTGACCCACCGCCAGGGGCCTGTGGGGAGGGATGTTCGATGTTCAGGCAGGGTCTTTCCAGGACCCCGTGGGCATGTCACCAAATCGTCACTCTCAGACTCCCTTTGCTGAGGCCGCAGAGAGCCTGAAGTCCAGAAAACAATGAATTCATATCCATAAGCCACAGCTTATCACAAGCTGTCACCCAACAGCCAGTCAGAGGAATCTCTGGCCAAATCTTTGCATTCGAAGCAATTGATTTCTACCCAAGCTACCCGAGCACCAGGCCAACGCTGGCCGTGGGTGGCAGGGATGCAGACAAAGCCTGGAGGCCTCACTGTCCCGCACATGCCTGGTCCCCTGGGTCAGAAAGCAGGTTGTCACGTGCTCAGAGGAAACCCTGGGCACAGCATCTGTCGCTCCCTCCCAGGTGTGGTCAGGCAGGCGTGGGCATGTAAGTGTGGCCACAGGCTCACAGGTGTGCCACCCCCTCCAGGTGCTGCTGTGGTCAGCCAACAAGGTGTTTGAGGAGCTGACAGACATCGAGAGGCAGTTCCACAAGGCCTTCTACACTGTGCGGGCCTATTTGAACTGCGACCGATACTCGGTGGGCCTCCTGGACATGACCAAGGAGAAGGTGAGGCCTGGGGCTCTCAGGGGCCCTCCCACCCGCCTGGCTCGGCACCTGCACTGACCACCTCACTCTCTTCTCTGCCCAGGAATTCTTTGACGTGTGGCCTGTGCTGATGGGAGAATCCCAGCCGTACTCAGGCCCACGCACACCTGACGGCCGAGTAAGTCTTGGTGACCAGCTAGGGCCAGCTGCACATCATGGCTCCCTGGCTCCGGCTCCAGGGTGGGAGATGGGGTGGCCCCCAAACAAGATCGCCAGCAAATGTTTTGCTTGGCTGGGCTCCTGGTGCCCCCTCCGCCGTTGTCATAACATCTCCCCACGCAGGAGCTTGTGAACATGCATGTGTGCATGTGTGCACATGTGTGCAGGAGTACGGGCCCAGTTTGAGTGTGGGGTTATGTGGGACCCAGAGGGAGGATGCATCCAAATCAAAGTGCACGAAGCATCCCCCACGGGTACCAGCATGTATGCCCATGTGCATGTGTGTGGGTGTATGTGTGTAAAACATGCATGGTGGATACATCTGTTGTGCAATTACATGTGAGTGTGTGGTCGTGTGTGACTGTGTTTGTGGCGAGCAGGGCACCTGGAGTCTCTTGCATGGCTGGAAGGCCCAGAACCAATGTGTCTGTTTCTAGGAAATCGTCTTCTACAAAGTCATTGACTACATCCTCCACGGCAAGGAAGACATCAAAGTCATTCCGTAAGTGCCAGGGCTTCACAATAGGCGTCCCCGCAGGAGGGACACCCTCAGCCCCAGGTGTGGCTTCAGGACGACAGTGGGGTCAGCCGTGCCCGGCTGGGCCTGGGCTGCTCCCTGCGCTGTGGGTGTCCTGGAGCAGGGTAGGGAGGAGGAGGCTGACTTGCTGTTCCAGGAGACAGTGGGGAAAGAGGGGTGAGCTGAGGCACTGGGGACCTCCAGAGTGGATGGCCAAGGTCCAGGTGCACTGTCCAGTGGTCCTATCAGCAGCAACTGAACTTTGAGGCTTTCAGGGTCTTGCCTTGGCTCACCCAGCCCCACCTGGACAAGTGGAGCCTCTAGCGGGGAGGCCTGGCATTGCACTCCCCTGGGGGGCTGGGAGAGGAAGGGTGTCCAGTCCAGAGGTCAGGGCAGGACTCCAGCCTAGAGAGACTGGGCAAGTCGGTCAGCCTCTCCAACCCTGCAGCTGTGTGGCTATGGGGCCGTGACCCCACAAGCCTGTCAGGACCAGGGCCCTAGGCCCCAGAGAGCACTGGGACCCAGCTGCCAGGCTAGAATGCAAGTAAGGGCCAGGACTGCAGGACAGGTGACTGTGTGAGTCCCAGGAGCAGCCGTGGCATCCCCAGAAGGGGGCGAGGGCTCCTGCAGAGTGAGGGCCCTGGCACGGCAGAGCACTGGGGGGATGAGGCAGCCCAGATATCGCCAAACCTCAGGCCCCGCTCAAGTGCTCGCCACCTCCACGGCCCCTGCTCCCACCTGGAGCCCAGAGAAGGGAACAAACGTCAAGGCTCACACACTGTGCCAGGGTCTGCAAGTGCGTGTCTGACACAGAGCGCCTGGTCCTCTGACCCTCTGCTCTCCCCACAGCACTCCACCGGCCGACCACTGGGCCCTGGCCAGCGGCCTTCCAACCTACGTGGCAGAAAGTGGCTTTGTGAGTCCCGTGCTGTCTGGGCCTCGGCCCTGCCCTGGCCTGGTGCCTCCCGCTCCTCTCCCGCAGTCCCCCTCCCTGCCCGTCTGCCCGTGCCGCGGCCAGCCCTCAGCTGCTGCGCTTTGCCAGCTTAGAAGTTCGCCCCTTGCAAGTGAGACTGGGATGGAGAGTCCATTATAGAATCACATTATACCTTCAACTGCTTGAGGCGAAGTCGTTTTTCTAATTCTTTTTCAGATTTGTAACATCATGAATGCCTCCGCTGATGAAATGTTCCAATTTCAGGTACCTGTCCATTCCTTGATAAAAACTGTATTTTACTTGGGCAAGAAGATATTTTGGCACAGAAATGATGAACTGTATTAGCTTTTGCCGCATAAACAACCTCGAAGTCTCAGTGACAACAAGAAGCACGTGTTTCATGCTCATAGGTCTGCAGGTCAGCGTGGCTCAGCGGGTCT